AGCCAGGCACGTCAACAGCACCACCATTTTGGGGCGGTCAACATCGCTGCTGGACTGCATTCAGTACCATTACAGAGCGGCAGTTTAAGAAAGATACTCTCCAGAATTACATTATTTCAGGAATATTGACTCAGAAAGTGGGATAGGATTATATAACGGAGGGAACGCAGTGATCCACACTCATGTCTGTGTGATGTTTATTGTTTTTGTGATGTTTATGTGTAGATATGGACGTGTGGTTGGTGAAGCACAGAGAACCTGTTGATGTGATTGTTTTTTTTTATATTAAGATTATTTCATTTAATAGTCTATTCAGGGGATCTTAACTTTAGTAGTTATTTGTTTACAATGATGGTTGATGCTTTGTAGGTAAGTTATATCATTCCCTAATCCGTGTAGATATTCATAATAGATTAGCGTTAGCACCTTCTTACATGAACCTGAAGTCAGCTTCTTATTTGCCAGCTTCTCGTTTGAGTTTTTCCGTTCTACCTTATATGGTGCTGCAGAAGCTGCGCCATTTAAGGTGGAATGGAAAATTCGAATAACAAGCTGGCAATTAAGAAGCTAACTTCAGGTTCATGTAAGAAGGTGCTAACGCTAATCTATTATGAATATCTACACGGATTAGGGAATGATATAACTTACCTATAACTTACAAAGAAAGTTTTCTGGCTCCGTCTTTAAAGAACTTTACAAGAACTTGACAAGTGTGGTGTTTCATGATGCACTGGTAATGGCGGGAACAGAGGTGCTATGACTTAAACAGAAGATCCGCCGTAGGGCAGACTGTCTCATTTCGGTTCAGCCTTTGCGGGTCTACGCCTTCGTAGACTGCGTCCTTCGAAGGATCCAGCCACTGAATTGGGACACACTGTTAGAGACTTTCAGACCTGCTTTTTCTCTGTGTAGCTTTCAAGCCACATATGATCTACTACGGCTCTCTGTGGTCCGCTTCTGGGTTTAATTTAATAATGTAACAGCAAAGTAATGGGTGGTGCTCAGAGAGACTGGACAGTGCTGAGGATATATTACATACTTATTTCTGAACATCTAGGATATTCACAAGTTGAGTAGAGTCAAAAAACCCAGTATGCAAACCTACAATCAAATTTTCTGTTTTACTGTTGAAGGACACTGAAGTCCCACAGAGCAATGTGACGCAGAATAGGAGGTTCTACTCACAGCGAGAACATTTTGAAAACATGGTGGATTCTGAGTAAAGCACTGCTAAGACGGTTCCAAAAACAACAGAGCTTAATTACAGACATCTGAAGAGTTTAATTTCTCTGAAATCTCCCTCACAGAAAGTTATTACATGGAATAGTTATGAATTCGCTGCCTGATGTCTGAGGCAGACATAGTTTTTTAAAGTTTACAAAAAAAATTTGGTCTAGAATCCAATCATGGTGGAGGGATACATGCAGGGTGTTCTAAGGCAAAATAGTCCCCAAAGAAAAGTTATTATTATAGATTTATCACTAGAGGTGGACGTCTGGTTCCTATCACCACCACTGTGAACAGTTCTGACTCTGTAAGTTTCTCTAGAACAGAGCGTTTCACACCAAACCACTCTGAATGACTCTGATTACATCATATCCTTTCAATTATACATAAATTTAAATACAAATCAGTGGAATTCACTTTTAATGCCTCTAAAAGCTCCCTCACAGAAAAATATTATCTGAAAAATATTATGTGAAAATTATTATTTCAGATTTATTTTGCCATTAATCAACATTCCATATAAGACCCAGAAGACACATGTAGGTTCACTGGTGGTTTTGTATAGTAAATAAAATGTCTATATTTGTGTTGTAGTCATGGCGACCCCTGGTTCCTATCACCACCGCTGTAAAGACATCTGAACCATTTCACACCAAACCACTCTGAATCACTACGTTTACATCTCAACCACCGAATTATGCACAAATTAAAAAATTGGTGGATTTTTCCTTCAGGATCAGTACGCAGTATTTACCTTATAATGTTTGTGTTTAATACATAATTGTGACAGCAAGAGAGTTGATAAAGCAAGCAAAACTCAGAGCCCTGAGCTGTTCATTAATTTAAATGCATGGACATTGAAGTTGCAGATTAAAAGTGTGAGAATACTTGTGGAAGCTACCTTTTTCATAATCAAACATGTTTTATATCACAGATCATTTTTATTTACTACATACCAACCAAGATATAAAGACCATCAAAGAAGACTAAAAAGGTCTCTTATGTTCTTCCAAAAAGCCACCTTTAGATGTAATAGCTTTAAACATAAGGTATGTGGTTAAGAAGTTTCAGCAGATTTCCAAAGCTGATTCTCAGCATTGCATATTTCATCCATTTGTGCCTCCATGGCAGCTCTACCTTCATTTTCATGGTAATTTGATCCCATGGCTCCTGGACCTGAATGTAACTAGAACTAAAGAGCTTCCTATCTACTTGTACTTTAAAATGACACTATGAGGGTGAAGTCACCAAAGCCATCGAACGTAAACCTCCGGGGTAACAACGTAATGGTAAAGCAAATTCACAGAGAAAAACAAAAGCAAGCCAGCATGAATTGTAAAGTAGGTCAGCATGTCAGTTGTTTACAAAGCAGAAATCATTCGCAGAGCACACCAGGTTCCATGTGCCCACACACTGCACCCATACACACAACTATAAAAAGTAGCACTTCAATGAGAACTCCTAAAGTTTCCTAAAGGGTGGGTGTTTCTAATAAAGTGGCTGGTGAGTGGAAGCACAAGGTAGGTGTTTAATAAAGTGGCCAGTAAGTGGACGTACAAGGTAGTTGGTTCTAATTAATTGGCTAGTGCATAGTAGCATAAGCAATGTGTTTCTAATATATTGGCAAGTGGATAAAAGTACAAGGTAGGTGTTTCTAATATATTGGCAAGTGGATAAAAGTACAAGGTAGGTGTTTCGAATAAAGTGGCCTGTGAGTGGAAATACATGGTGGGGGTTTCTAATAAAGCGGCCAGTGAGTGGAAGTACAAGGTAGGTATTTCTAATAAAGTGGCTAGTGGGTGGAAGTACAAGGTAGGTGTTTCTAATAAATTGGCCAGTGGACAGAAGCATAAGCAAGGTGTTTCTAATATATTGGCCAGTGGATAGAAGTACAAGGTAGGTGTTTCTAATAAAGTGGCCAGTGACTGGAACAAAAGGTAGATGTTTCTAATAAATTGGCCAGTGGATAGAAGTACGAGGTAGAAGCGGTCTATAAAGTATCATTATCTGAACAAATGCAGGACATCCAGCAATGACCCATATCTTACACCTCAAGCATGTTGTTCAGTATGTAGGTTACAGCTACAGGTGGTTTCCTGCCCTATTACTGGCTCTCAAGTAAAAAAAAAACAAACAAAAAAAAAAACTGTCTTACAAGAATGTGGCTGTACATGTCCCTCACTGACTCACCTCATTCAAAGCAGCTGTAATGTGTTGGAGAGGATTACACAAGCAAAGCTCGTTGGAGGCCTAAAGAAATTTCGAAAGAGCCTTATTTGATCGCTTATAGAGGGTCCACATCATGGAAAACTGAATTCTCCTCACTTTTTTTGTTTTAAGATTCAAAACATCTTTCACTTCTGAGTCCATACAGTCCATATATACAGTACAAATCCATATACACTGCAAAAGCAGACTATTTTGACTTTGCTGTTTTTATGATGTCGCAAACCAACACATTTACATACATCCACCTATTGAGCCTACAGCAGTTTAGCCTTGCCCAGTTACACTAAAGTTATATGGAGTGTCTCAGCCTAGACTGCTATAGGAATTAGGGCATCCAATCAGATCGCAGCTTATTTGCATATATCAGTCTTAAAGGCACAGCCTGTTTAACTGTAAGGCATGGAAAACGGCCACGTAACAATGAATGGTGGCTGGTTTTGGTGCATAAAACCACACAAATGTTCACAAAGTGGACCTGGGAGTGGTAGTGACGGGCCCTTTGAAGAAAAACTCCACTGATTTGACAACATTTCTGGATTATTCAGTGTTTGTGATGTAAACAGAGTGATTCAGAGTGGTTTGGTGTGAAATGGTTCAGATGTCTTTACAGTGGTGGTGATAGGAAACAGGGGTCGCCATGACTACAACACAAATATAGACATTTTATTTACTATCCAAGACCACCAGTGAACCTACACGAGTCTTCTGAGCTTTAATAAGGAATGTTGATGATGGTAAAACAGTTGTACAACCACTAAATCTCCAAGTCCTCTTTCGCTTCACAGCTGCATGTACGCCTCCATGAATGGCTTTTTAAAAGTATGTTTTAGGCCAAAACCATTGTAAAATAATGTCTCAAAACTATTTATTTGAAATGTTAGTGATGGTAAAATAGTGGAAATAAAAAAATATGTTTTCTTTGAGGATAGTTTTGCCTTACGTGTATCCCTCCACCAGTTTTAAAAAGACATTTTAGGCTAAAATCTTCTTAAAACTATTTTAAAACATTGTCTCAAACATCAGTGAATTCATAACCATTTCATGTAGTAACCTTCTGTGAGGGAGCTTTTAGAGGTGGACGTCTGGTTCCTATCACCACCACTCTGCACAGTTCTGACTCTAGAACAGAGCATTTCACGCCAAACCACTCTAAATGCCACAGCTGCAAAGCAATTATAGAAAATCGCTGGTATTTCCCTTTTAAAGTGTTGTATCTGAACAGCCACATTCTAACATGGCCCAAGCAGGACAATGCAAAAGCAAAAGAGTCCCAAGTCTGTACTTGCAAGCTGCTGTTGCATAAAAGCAACGTGTTCCAACTTTTTTCCCCCCCTCCTGAGAGTTTCCAGATGTGAGGAAGCGCGTGCTTTGTGGAGCTGAGTGAAAAAGTGGAAAAAGTTGGAGGAAAGCTTGTGCTATGTGGCTATATGGAGCCCAAATCCCCGCCCTGCGGAGTTTACAGTCCCAAAGCATCGAATTACAGGGGATATTTTTTTTCTCCCCATGGCTCACTGACACGGTAGGTGGGTTGATCTCTCCTTCTCTTTTGAGGGGGAGGATTCAGGATTTCAGCCAAGATGTGACAGCAGTGGAAAGCTGAGCGAGTAAAGTAACAATTACTGAAGGAAGAAAGGAGAAAGGAGAGGCTGCAATGGCGTTAGAGGTGAGAGACGTCTACTTTATTTCATACCTCTTCGTTTTAAAGCCACCAGCTCGACCACAGCTCACTGATAGGTGCTCGAAAACTCTGTAAGGTGGAAGAAAAGCGCGTTTCGCGGCTTCTAACTGAGCTTTAGGGCAGATCTGGGCAGATCCGAGACGCGGACGGGACGGTTGTCGCGCTAAAAACTCCATTTTGACCAGGTTTGTGTTGCTCAGGGCTTTTTTTTTCGACGGTGGCAGCTTCGTTTCTCCTCCTCTTCTTCTCCATCTACCACTTTTACGTACTGCGATTTACCCAAACTGGACCAAACCACATTCCCCTGGTTAAATCTGGGTCAGGGGGCGCTTTCAGGAGCCCACACTTTGCGCAAAGAAGTGCTGACTACATGAGAGATGAGTAGCCTTTTTTCTTTTTTTTTCTCGGGGTTTTTGGAGAGGTGTCGTGTTTTTAAGGAGTGTCACTGCAGTGAGCCCCAGGCCTCTGCCAAACTAGTTTCCTGAAGTCGAGCAGGGCTGTTAATTCAGACCATATGGCTCCACGCTGAGCTCCTCCATCCACAGCAGCGGAGAAATGGGAAGCACGGGGAATCAATCAGACCAAAACCTCCTCGACTGGGGCCTGAAAACATGCGGGGAAGATTCGTGGGATGAGCTGCTTTTACTCTCCACAAGTGGGAAACGGAGAGATTAGGGTGGGACAGGCTGAGCCTAGGTTATGATTTGGTCAGGGCAGTGTTGTGTCTGGTGCCAAAGCCTTGAGTTCTGCTCCCTGTTTGGGCTATTATAGTAAACTGAAACTAAAGTTAGAGCTAAAACTCTTAAAAAACTTTTTTTTGTAAGCTGGAAAAAGATCCTAAGAAGGTACAGTGCATGAAAGGCTGCTTTGAAGTGAAAATATGGGTTTTGCCTACCCTAAAAAAAAGGTGTGTCGAGGTTTCTTTAGTAAAGGCAATGGGAATAGATTTAATAACTAACTGTACGTATGCATGGCTATCAAGTTAAACCTGTCGTATGTGGTTCTTTAAAAAAAAAAAAAAAGGTCTTTTCAGCACCAAAACCAGTTTTTTTCACTTTTTACTACTACATAGAACCCTTTTTAAGGGGCGGTTGGGAATAAGCACTGCATCTAATGCTGATTCACCAGCTCGTTTTCTGGTTTTGATCAAAGAAGGATCAGTATCTGCCAAACCAGTATGACTTTTAAAGCTAAAATTGAAACCGAAATATGTCTAAAAGTGAAATAAATGTCTCTTCCTTACAGTGAAGCTGCTAAGCAAGACCAAAAACCTGAACTGGGAGCTAATGTAGAAAGGAAAAACCACATTAAAAGGCATCAAACTTAATTCTTGCATTCTTTTTCCCCTCTTTGAGGTCCCCTTTTCAAGGTCTGTGTGCTTATGTACAAAAAATGAGTCATTCATTTTTACAGGGGCATTCTCTGTATAAACAGGCTGTTTTTGGTACCGCACCTTTAAGACATGAGCTCTGTGCTGATTGGCTGCCCTGTACTGGGCCTCATTGAAAAAGCAGTCCTGGCTAAAACACTCCTTATAACAGTGGGAGTGGGCGGGGCTAAAGTGCTGTAAGCTGAATAGGCGGATGTATGTAAATTATATGATATTAATGATTATCATTAATAAGTGAAGCCAAAATTTAAACCATTAAAAAAAACTTTTATAAGCTGGGGTAAGAACCTAAAAAGGTACAGTGCATGAAGTGAAAATAGTGATAATCGAAATAGTTAAACATGGTGAAAATATGGGTTTTGTCTACCATAAAAAAGGTGTTGAGGTTTCTTTAGTAAAGGCAGTGCTTATATGTATAGAATAACTATTTGAATGTATGCATGGCTATCAAATAAAACCTGTTGAATGCGGTTCTTTAAAGAAAAAAGGTCTATGCAGCACCACGACCAGGTTTTTACACACATCTTAAAAGCAGTGAAGTTAAAATGGGTTGTTTCTGCAGGATAGGTTGCATTTATGGCCTGTATGGACTGGGAGGGAACATTACGATTGGAAACTAAGATTTTTAGAATATTACATCAGACTTTAATTTCAAAAAAAGCAAGTAAAGCTCAGTTTTCCATGACGTGGACCCAAAGAACAAAAACCTGATACAATTTTCAGTAATATTGCCTGGGGTAGACTGAGTGTTTCGCAGTGAATGTAGGCGCGCCTGTGGGTAAATACAGCGCAGGGGGCGGGGATGGCAAGGCTCGACTTGCAGGTATTACAGGTATCGTTGCATAAAGGTGCCAGCTTTGAATGTCAGTGGCTTCAAGACCCCACGAGGAAAAGCAAGAACGTTTGAACTCTTGTGGTTGTGGTTTAATCCGTTGATGGATATCGGTTTGAATGCTCCTAAGTTACACAACGTCAACGTTTTCCTTTTTAACCATGTAGTCACCACATGTGGCTTTCATAAAAGATGCCAGCAGTTCAAATCCTCTCCCTCTCTCTCTCTCTCTCTCTCTCTCTCAGTACTCAGACTTGGAGAAGGCCATCAACACCCTGGTCACAAACTTCCACGCGGCGTCTGCCGATAAAGGCCCCTCGCTCAAGGCGGATGAATTCAAGAGCCTCCTTTCCTCCCAGCTGCCCAACCTTGTGAAGGTAAACACGCCCAGATACTCAGTGCTACCCATTCGCAGGGTGTGGTCGAGGATCCCTGTTGGGAAACTCTAAACCGCCTTTTACTGGCCAGCGTTTGTGTGCCGAACCCTGCTGTGGTAACAGCAAGGCTGGGATTTAGAATTATTTAGCTGTGTGTCAGAGAGAGATGGCTCTATTCAGACGGGGAGGGTTTTGAATTAAACAGCATAGCGGCAGAGTCAGGGTGACACAACAGCTTTAACGTGTGAAGATTATCTTCTCAGGTCGTGTCGTGGCAGGATATGCGGCTGTTCAGGGCTAAAGGCAGAACTTCTAGAAGGGAAAGAAAAAGTGACGGCACAAGCATGAGGTTGAGCAGCTTTAAGATGACTCTGCTGGGTTCACATGGTTTAATTGCATAATTATACATGAAGTTGAGCATATTTTTTCCTTATATACCTCTACTGAGCAGTAGAGAACTACATGATTATATATACAGTGTAAAGAACTGTAGCAGATGGTTCCTTATTCAGTGCAGTTTATGGAGGTAAAAACCCAGCCCAAAGTGGATGTGCAGACTGAAAAACACATGGAGATCAAACTGTATAACAACTACTAAGCATTAAACATTAACCATAATATTATTTCAGAATAAATAAACTGTATGTCGCTGTTGTTGGAACAAAACCTCGTATCTCCAAAATGGTAACTTTACAGGAGAAGGAAAAAACCTACTTTACTTTTAATGTAAGTCAATGGAACCAGACTTTTTTCCAAGTCGTTTTGGGCCGTTTCTTTTGGTCCAATCATCATGAAATTTACACACAACGTAAAAGTCGACTTTTTTAAAATTGTCAAAAACTGAAAAACGAAAAAAATGGAGAAGTTTTGTTCTGACAGTAGTGATATACATGCTTGTTTGATTAATTTTAAGTCAGAATAAATAAACTGTATATACATGTTTGATTTTCTATATGAAAATATACATAAATACATAATTTATATTATCAAAGACAAAGGAGTTTATATATCAACTGTGATAACCATTTGATTGTGTGCATGGCATCTATTAATTTACTTCAGTCTATTTCTTCCAAGCTGTACTACACACTTAGAGGTCATTCTTACTGCCCCCCCACCTCTCTCAATGTTACTGTCTCTGTTTGATTTGTTATTGCTATTGCTTATACCTGTACTTTTGTCCGTATGAAAAATGGACTATTAAATGTACATTTTTATTTTGATCACAAAAACTTAAGTTGATCTGGAGGAGTAATTAAATGTCTTTTTTTATTATTTAGGACAGTAATAATGGACAGTACATAATAATTTAGAAACATGACAAGTACACAAACATACTCTCTTTACATAAACTCTTAAATAAAAAAAAAAGTGTGCAAATTCCCCTTTTGCCCGGATGGGGAATCAAGACTCCAGACTTAAATGTGAAAGCCAGTGGTGTCGTCCACTACACCGTACCAACCAGCATCATCCTACTGGCCGAGATAATGTTTTCAGCTTTGGCGAGTCTTACTGATAGATTGAAACTTCACTTACTTATTTACATATCGCTGCTGTGGGAAGAAAACTGTGTATCTCCAAAATGATAACTTTACAGGAGAAGGAAAAAACATACTTTATTTTAATGCAAGTCAGTGGAACCAGACTTTTTATCAGTCATTTTGGACCATTTCTTTTGGTCCATTCATCATGAAATTTAGACATTTTCATATTATGATAAGAAACCAAAAATGGCAGAAATAGAGATACAAGGTTTTGTTCCGACAGCAGTGATATGTTTTGAATGTAGTGAGTACAAAATTGCACTCAGTTATGTTCTGGTTAATACAAAATACTTTACTCTTCTCCAGCAGAAGTTCCCTTGAACACAGCTTTTCTCAGTGCTGCCCCTTTTTTTTAATAACCTAGTTACATATCATGGGGTGGTCAAACTTTTAAACGGCTGTGTGTGTGTGTATATATATATATATATATATATATATATACACACACACACACACACACACACACACACACACACACACACACTTTATTTATATATCAGCCAAGACAAGTTTGTTTTTGCACTGGAGCCTTGAGGCTGTTGTGATAGAAGTCTTTGTAACCCCAATAAGATGTTGGCTTGTAGGCCCTGTGCAATATTAAAGACGTTAACACCAAACACATCTCAGCTGATTGACTGCGTTTGGTGTAAGAGGGTAAAATGTAAACATCTTTCAATGACCTATTCTTTTACGCTGCTATGCACCTAAAAATCCTTTGGAGGCCACATGATGGCGCCAAACTTCAAGTTAATAGCTGAAGGTACAGCTGCTTGACAGTTTGCATTTCTAGTTACAAAACATTTATAAATCGCTGCTGTAGGAACAAAAGCTCTTATCTCCAAAATGAGAACTTTACAGGAGAAGGAAAAATATACTTTACTTTTAGCGCAAGTCAGTGAACCCAGACTTTTTTCCAAGTCATTTGGGTTCATTCATCAGGACATTTGCACACAATAAAGGCATTTTCAAATTATATCAGAAACTAGAAATATAGTACTGATAGGTGTTACTCTTTTTCATTGATCTGCTTTTCCCAGTAAAAACACTAATATTGGAATAAATTCTAATACAAATTATTGTGGGAAAAAGCAACAAGAACAACTTGGTTTCAAAAAATGTGATCTGATATCTTCCGAGATAGCGAGAGAACACAGGTTTCAGGTTTGTCAAGTTCCATCTGCAGCACTGCTGATTGAACATAATGACGTATTGATTAACCACACCAACTATTAGATGCTACAGTGGAAACAGTTCAACTTGTGCACAGTGACCATAACTGAACCTACCGTCTTTCGTTTCGCCTGTTAGACCGGAGGGTCAGACGCAGGTTTCGGGGAGGTGCTGAAGCAGATGGGGGTGAAGGATGGAGAGGGCATAACCTTCAAAAACTTCTGGACCCTGATCCAAAACCTGGCTACCAGCCAGTATGGCCTGCTCAGCAACGAGAAGGTGTCCAAATGCAGCTGCCTTCTACTGTGATCGCCAGGATTCACCTGCAGACTCGGTCCATCATGGAGGGGCGCTGTTGCCTTTATACACCCACCTAGATTTGGTCTCTCCATTGCTCTGCATTTAACCAGTCACACTTCTTTTCTCGAAACACTAACCCCCCCATGTCTACTTCAGTGAAAATGTGCTTGATAAAAGACTCAGTTCTTTGTTACAGTGCAATGTAGAAATGAGCCACATTAGAATTGCTACAAAACTCGATGTCTAAAGTTCTGAAGTGGCCACAAATCTCAATCTAAACCTAAATCATGATCATGAACTGGAGCTTTTAAAAGAATTTTAGCTACGTTCACATTACAAGCCTCAGTGCTCAAATCCGATTTTTTGCTCAAATCCGATCTCTGACACGATGGTTCACACTCGTTTAGGTAAGTGATACAAATGTCATTAATGTGAACGAACCTGCGTCCTGAAATGACCCGCATGTGCACATCCTACTCAGTAACGTCACGTGAATGAATCACCGCATCATCAGCACAAACTAACGAGCAGAACGAGCTTCGCTGAGAAGATAATTAACTCTGATCAGCTCTCAGCTTCAATATTAGAGCGAGACGAAGGACAAAAAGGTGAGATGAGCTGCTTTTCCACCGTTTACAGGCTTTAACTTCTGTTCGGCGCTGCTGCCATGGTAACGCTGAATGATGGTGCAGTGGAAAAAAGCACATTAATTCTGATCTGAGCGTCACATTAAGGTCACATGGCTACGAATCGGACACATATCTGATCTAAGACCATATGAAAGTGGCTCAGGTCATATTTGAATAAGATCAGATTTGTGTCCACACAGCCCTGAAAACATCAGATCTGAGTCACATTAGGGCAAAAAATCGGATTTGTTCCACTTCAGCCTGGTAATGTGAACGTAGCCTTTGTTTCTATTTTCTACATCTGTTAATGGGATCTTCAAAGCACACTGACCAAGTATACTGCTTTTTTTTTTGAGGTAATAGTGGTCAGAATTTTTTTTTTTTTAGTTTTTTACTTACATGTAACATCACTAGTATTGTGTCATATCGTGTTTAGTATGTCTGTGTGTAATAACACAAGTCTGTTACTTGTATCAGCGCCCTTTAAATCTCCAACAGAATAATACTTCTTCAGAAGTATCATCTCGACATTATTTTTTACCATATTTATATTTTGTAACTCTCCTCTGTTTTGCCCACAAATGCATTAACATACAGCACTGTTTAATGTAATTAAAGCCAAAAATCCACATTGTGTTTATGCTGTTTTCACTGCAGTCATATTTCAAATTCTGGGGCATGTTTTCCTGCATGCAACTTGGTTAGTTAGTCTTTCTCTATGGAATTTTTAACTAAAGAACGTAACATAATGTGTAATTCTGTCCAGGACATCAGATACTAAAGCACTATCGTGACTAGACATAGACAGATGCTCCACACAACATAAGAACTTTATTTATTAGGTATTTATACAAGTTAATCACAAACCAAGGTTGGTAATGCTTTCTCTTACAGCCCTTTAAATTCTACATATTAACTGGGTAAGTATGAGGTGTAAACTTTAAAGTACTATGTAACTAATTAGGGTAATAAGAGGGTTAAGTACCAACACAGTCTAAGGAAATTACAGTGAAATACCCAACAGGTTGTCTCCATTTTTGCTGATTTTTCTACATAATTTGAACATACTGTTCTTTACATGGTGTGAAAATGTCATGATGATTGGACCAATAGAAATGCGCCAAAATAATTAACTTACTTTATAGCTTAAGAATGTTTTTGCCTGTAAAATTACCATTTTAGACATGTTTCTATTTGGACAGTGTCAAGGTTCAAGCCACTAACCAGGAAAAGGGCAGTAAATTGTACTTTATTTGGATAATTGTTTTGATAAAAAAGGTTAAGTACCAACATACCTACACACAAAATCACTGTAATGTCAAACATTCAAGCAGGAAAGTGAATAATAAGGGCCCAGTAAAACCACAGTGAGAAGTATTGCTTTCTTTTACAGGCCTTTGAATTCTATGTATTAACTAGTTAAGTGTGAGGTTTAAACTTCAAAGCACTGTGTAACTAATTGGGGTAAAAAGAGGGTTAAGTACCAACACAGTCTAAGAAAATTGCACTGAAATACGCAAAAGGTTGTGTCCATTTTTGTTGACCTTTCTACATTATTTGAACACAATGTCCTTTACATTGGTGGAATGGACCAATAGAAATGCTCCAAAATCATTAACTTACTTTATAGCTTAAGAATGTTTTTGCCTTTTTTTTGTAAAGTTAAACATGTTTCTATTTGGGCAGTGTTGAGGTTCAAGCCACTAACCAGGAAAAGGACAGTAAATTGTAGTTTATTTGGATAATTGTTTTGATAAAAAAGGTTAAGTACCAACATACCTGCACACAAAATCACTGTAATGTCAAACATTCAAGCAGGAAAGTGAATAATAAGGGCCCAGTAAAACCACAGTGAGAAGTATTGCTTTCTTTTACAGGCCTTTAAATTCTACGTATTAACTGGGTAAGTGTGAGGTTTAGTACCAACACAGTCTAAGGAAATTACAGTGAAATACCCTGAAGGTTGTCTCCATTTTTGTTGACATTTCTACATTATTAGAACACAATGTCCTTTACATGGTGTGAGAACTTGATGATTGGACCAATAGAAACGCACCAAAATAATTAACTTACTTCATAGGTTAAGAATGTTTTTGCCTTTTTTAAACATGCTTCTCTTTGGACAGTGACGCAGTTCAAGACACTAACCAGGAAAAGGACATAGTAAGTTGTAGTTTATTTGGATAAGGTGGTAAGTACCAACAAACCTGCACACAAAATCGCTGTAAAGTCAAACATTTAAGCAGGAAAGTAAATAATTAGGGTGATGTAAAGATATATCATTGCTGTCGGGACAAAACCTTTATGTTGTGTCAGCATTTCATGATGAACGGACCAACAGAAATGGTTCAAAATTACTTGGAAAAAATTATTTCTCCATTTACCTCCATTAAAAGTTGAGAATGTTTTTCCTTGTCCTGTAAAGCTACCTTTTGGAGATACGAGGTTTTGTTCTGACCGAGCGAAATACAGATACACTACGTAAAACTCCTCTGTCTCACTTTTTACCCCATATAACTACCTGGTTCTTAGAGGTTTTCCAAAGTACATCCAATATACTTACTCACTACTTTGTTGCACCAAATAATTATCCATGTGTGACATTACTATGTCCTTTATCTGCTTAATAGCTAGAACCTGTTAGGCATTTCAGTGTTATTTATTACTAGAGAAACTTCCTGAGTCAGAGTTGTTCACAGTGGTGGTGATAGGAACCAGACGTCCACCTCTAAAAGCTCCCTCACAGAAAGTTACTACATGAAATGGTTATGAATTCACTGCCTGATGTCTGAGACACTGTTTTATGATGGATTTGAAAGAGATTTTGGCCTAAAATGCATTTTTACATTTTAGAGGGATACATGTGGGGCATTGTGAGGCAAAACTCTCCTCAGAGAAAACTTATTCCCTATAAATCCATATATTCCATACAAAAACATAGAATAGTTTACTGGTGGTTTTGGATAGTAAATGAAATGTCTATATTTGTGTTGTAGTCACAGCGACCCCTGGTTCCTATCACCACCACTGTAAAGAAATATGAGTCTGAGAAAATAAACCATTTCACATCAAAATGTGTTGAATGACTCTAATGATTGAATTACGCAGAAATGTTTATATTTTGAAAAAAAATCCCATTTAAGCTCTTATTAATCTTCATCATAGTGTTGCATTGTAAGTGTTATTTATTGCATGCTGTTTGCGTTTTGCACTGTAGATGGATGTTAGGAAATTTCCTTAATTTACACACTTTTTCCAAAATATTTTCACCACCACAACACCAATTTCAGTCAGTGTCTACAAGTGCTACTGCTACTAAGCGCTATCAAGTACCCTCACCCTTAAAGCCTGTGAGATAGTGTTAAAATAAGAGATACTGTGAAGCTGAACACCACTTAAATATCGCTGCTGTCAGAACAAAACCTTGTATCTCCATTTTTGTTGTTTTCCAGTTTTTGGCATAATTTGAAAAAGCCAGTTGTCCTTTATATTGTGTGTAAATTTCAGGATGAATGGACCAAAAGAAACGGCCCAGAATGGCTGGGAAAAAAGTCTGGTTCCATTGACTTACATTAAACGTAAAGTATGTTTTTTCCTTCTCCTGTAAAGTTGCCATTTTGGAGATACAAGGTTTTGGTTCGACATCAGTGATATTTACTGCAGAAAAGTTCCTTTGTGGCTCCTTTGAGATTATTCATAGGGGTCATATGGGGATGGCCCAATGCATCCTCGAGAGAGCTTCTTTCCCTCAATGGTTCCACGAAAAAAATTCAGATATGAGGTGAAGGCATATTTATTCATCACTTTGACTTTGCCAAAGATGTCTAGCTCTGTTTCCTGGTCATGATCCACACCGGACATCATCTGCTTTGATATGGTGTACAGGTAATTTTCTTTGGAGACCACCTCATCTAGCCAGTAGACCCTCTCACGCTTGATTGGCTTCTCATTAGCATCCTGTGTACATCCGTAGAATCCTCGCCGGCCATAGAAAGGCCAGGGGTCTTCACGCATCATGGGGTAGTAATCTCCAACGAAAGCAGAGCAAACTGAGTTGTCTGAGCCTCTGGAGCTGCTGACCTCGCAAGCAATTACGCTCATGAGGAAGAGCGAGAAGGTGCGGAAGTTCCGTATCGAAGCAGCAAACACAGCCTCCATGAAGAAGCGACTCCACTGACCGCAGCTGTCTTCACACTGCTTCGCATGGAACGTCTGCCGGCAGAACTTGTTAAATTCATAAGCTTTCAGGTCCTGCCTCAGCTCAGCTATGGTATAACGCTCTTTCTGGGCCTCGAATGTGGCTAAAAACGTTTGAACCTCTTGCTGGTTATTTAAATTCATGTATTTACCCACCAGAGAAGTGTAGAAGATTCTTTTCTTGACTTTGAATACAAAATTGTTGAGAACATAGTAAGTGTCGCCGCTCTCATCCTCTCTTGCATGGTATCTGATTTCAAGAACAAGGTCCAGGATGCTAGTAATGTGTTTAATTGAGGCTCCTTCTTTTGGCTGTTCATCGCCCAGCCACACAGGCGTGAGGTCTTTTGCAGGGTTGAAATCTGGTGCTCGTCTTTTGTCATGTTCCTCAAAAAACAGGCTCCAAGTTAGACCCTCTAGACAATCAATAGATGTATATTTCTTGCGCAAGTCTGCAGGGACGAACATTTGAGGATGTGTTGGCCATTCCAGAGTTTGTAAAAAGAGCGGACGTCCTTTGTAATCACTAATGATCTCGCCTCTATTCCCTCGCTCCACTCTAGTCTGAAGAGTTCCTCTCTCATCTAACCAGGCAATGACTTTCTTACTGGTGTCTCTGCGTCGCCAGGCATCATGATCCATTGTTAGTTTTTCTCCGGCAGGATTTACAGAGACTGCAGATCTCCAGAAATGTACCTCAGTCTGCACATTTAGGCCTCTCAGCTCACGCAGGAGCTTCTCAGCAAATTGAGGATTACTTCCAAGATAACAGCCCACCAAGCTGAGGGTCTGTACATGTCCCTCAACAGTCACCATGGCACCAACAACCTTAGCAATGTCCTCAGGAGCATAACCACCAAGTCTGGACACCCCATCAGTTCCTTTGCTGCCATGGCCGACCAGCACCACTCGGCTTTTCTTTGTCAGATGAACTTCAGAGCCCCTGATTACATGCAGTGTCCCGTTTTGGTAACTAAGCAATGTTGACTCAGAGGGACGTTTCTCAAAAAGGAATGAAGCAGACTCCACAACGACTGGATCATCCTCCAGGATGACTATGTTCTGGTGGTCAAAGCTAGTTGGTTTGTGGTTAAATGTGATATTTACCTCCAAATATGGAGACCAGCCAAACTTTAGCTTGCTTGATCTCTCATGAGAGCCCCTGACAGAGAGCTTCCCAGGAAGTTCTTGACAGTGTTGACCATTTCCACCTGAAGAACATGTTTGTGGGGAAATGAAAGCAATGTCTTTGGCTTCTTCTGGCCTTTGGGTGATAAAAAAAACAGCACTGCTTATTAAAATCTCAATTTCACCGGCTGATATCATAATAAGCAGTTATAATCAAGCAAATACTGTTCAAATGTCAGAGACCACCTATCATTTATTTACTTTCCAGTTTAAACAGCCATTCAAATTATTCATATTTCTGAGGAGATTAGAT